TAATATATAAAATTTGAGTTTTAAAATATTTTACATTGAAAGATTTATAAAATTAACAAATACAGAGATGATAAATTTTAAAATTGATGTTTGCGGCTGTTCCAAAGACTAAAATCATTAATTAAAGCACAATAATTTAACGAATGAGCTACGTCATTTTCGATTGAAAGAAATGCAAGGGCTGAAAGCCGATCTTGTGTCATCGAATTTCTCAAATATGTTCTAATAATTTTAAGCCTCGGGAAACTCCTTTCAGCAGACGCAACTGTAACAGGTGTGGTAGCAATAGTGTGGTCTCAGGACTATTTCGATAGTGGGATAAACTTTACTTTAATTTTTTTTTCTATTATATATTTCAGCACCGAGATAATATCGTCGTTTCCTCCATACACACGGATGAACATATTGAGTTCTACGTACAATTCATGTCCATCAATATAACATGAGTCTCCTACTGTCAAAGATATTTGTAAGTCGCTGCATTGCTTCAAAATTTCACTATCACTAATTTCCTTTAATCTTTTTATATTATAAATGAAATCAAATATGCTCTCATGATGTTTAAGAGCCTCAAACCTAGGTTGGCAGCTTGCGCGCACATTGTCGACAATGACATAAAAATAGTTTATTTTGAAAATTTCTTCCGCATTCAATTCATGAGCTTCATCTTCCCCTTCGTAATCAAAATGCCTTTTTACGTCGTTTTCTGACTTCTTTGAACTGTCTGTCAATATCATTTTATTCGGCCATTTCTCTCGCTGCTGTATCTCCTAGGATGAGATTCCAGCAATGACTCCCGCAAGGTAAAAAATAAGCAAGTGGATTAATTTCAAGAATACGTTTTTGGACACCACTTTTTTCACCACGCATGTTGGCACCATTATCATATCCTTGGCCTCTGCAGTTTTGCAATGGTATACCTAACTGTTCTAATTCTGTAATTATATAATTAGTCAAACTCTCAGCTGTGGTTTTTTCGACGGCTAAGAAACCAATTAAATGTTCTTCAATTTCAGCTGTATTTGTATTAAAATATCTTATAATAATTGAAAGTTCTTCAACACGAGAAACGTCGCGAGTACAATCAAGAATAATCGAGTAATATTTATTATTTATAATTTTTTCAACAATTTGAGTCTTCACGTGACTTGCCATTAATTGTATTAGCTCATTTTGAATATTTTTTCCTATATAGTGGTCATTAATCGTCTTATCCTTTACTTGTTTTAGGTGAAGTCTCATCACGGGATCAAATCGGGCTATTAACTTTACTAAATCTATAAAGTTGCCGCTTTTCTCACTCGAATCTGAGTAAGATGTTAATTTCTATCTATGACCCCTGAAGGCCAAATTGTGAGATGCTAAAAAGTTTACAATTGCGAGTTCAATTTGTGACTGGGCCAAGAAGTCAATAGTGGAACAGCTTTTTAAACCATTCTCTAAATTAATCCATTTCAACATACAATTTTTGTCCTGTCGACTAGATTCGTGAGACTTTAGGTAATCACTCAAGTGTTTCCAATCACACACTCCTTCACTTGATCCGATCTTTGTATTTTCTAGCCCGAATATTTGACACGGAAAGCAGTAAAGGGCATCCTTTGTTTGTGAATAAATCATCCAGCGCCTATCAAGCTTTTCACCGTTAACTAATATCTTATTATAATGATATTCGCTGAATCGCCGTCCATTATTATTTACGGGAAATAAATCAACTTTAACACTTCCTTGTGGTCCTTTCAATACAATCTCAGTTTGTTCTACATCAATAATGGTTGTAGGTCACAAACCGGGATCATTTTGAGGATTCAGATTTTCTATTCCAGCAGCCATGGATTAGACATAGACTCGGGCTCACATTCGTGTGCTTGACTGAATAGCGTTGACGGCGGCACCGGTGACCTAAGAGACAATGATGTAGTTAATTCATCATCATCCTCACTGTTTTTACTTAATGTCGGCGGCCGCACCCATGATAATGTGGAAGGAATGTTTTCAGCTGGATCAGGGTTAGAGTCACTTTCAGTCAATAAATGTTTTGTAGAGGTTTCTTGATCATCCCTTTTTATATATTTATATAAATATCCCCGTAGATTTTCTTTTACCTGCTTTCTTTTGACAGCTCGTTTCCTATTTGAACTACCTGACTCAAATTTTCTACCGGCATCACGATCACGCGAACTCATTTCGTAAATCTTGTTGTGTTTCGCATAAAGTCAGAAATAATTTTTAAGTATCACACAGTTTTTTACACTTTTTCAACTTACTCAATACTTCAAATACTATAATTTATACTTCTCCAGCTCACTCAATATTTTAAATACTATAAGAACGTAATATTCAATAAAATTTAAGGATATGTACGGTACAGTAACGATTTTATAACAGTTTTGCTTGTATACTGCAAGCAAAATAATTCCGATTAAAAAATGTTTGTTTCGAGGCGCTATATTCAAGTACTACATAATGAATTTTTCAATTATGTTTTGAATGAATGAATTAGTTAACAAACTTTTAATTTACCGTTATGTTATAACCTTAATGAGTAATTAGGGATCAAAATCAAAAGTTTTAAATAAAATATATAGTTAATTAATTTATATTTTTTAAAATTTGCTTGGGTTGTTGCGCGAGGCCCCTGCAAGAGCGAGGCCCCGGGCGATTGCCTTGTTCGCCACCCCCTAAGGCCGCCGCTGGATGCAAGAGAAATCAGAAAGATTTCTATGGGAGGCACAATGCGGATTTAGACCTGGAAGAGGATGCACGGATCAAATATTTTCTCTCCGCATGATCACGGAGAAGCTTCTGGCTGCTAACCAGAAGATTTTCTGTGCTTTTGTGGATCTTGAGAAAGCATTTGATAACATTATAAGGAATAAAATGTGGGAACTGTTGCCGGGGTATAGTGTGGATGGTCGATTGCTAAGGGCTGTGCAGTCACTTTACTGTGACTGTAAAGCCTGTGTGCGGGTAGGGCATGACCTGTTACCCATGTTTAGCGTCCAAACGGGCGTAAAACAGGGTTGTGTCATGTCTTCCTGGCTGTTCATACTGTATCTCGACAGCTGTTTACAGAAGCTCAAAGATAGCTGTTTGGGTGTGAAATTGGGTGACATTAAAGTAAATTGTCTGCTGTATGCTGATGATGCAGTGCTTATTGCACCATCAGAGGCAGAACTGCAGGCATTAGTCACGTGTGTGAAAGAGGAATGTGAAATTAAAGGTCTCCGTTTGAATGCTAATAAAACTAAGGTTCTGGTATTTGAAAGGGACGAAGAGAGAACGAAGTGTGAAATATGGGTACATCAGGAATGTCTAGAACAGGTAAATGAAATTGTATACTTGGGGAGTGCTTTCAGCCGGGATGGAAGATGTGATTTAGATGTGGACAGGCGTGTCGCTCCCGGGAACAAAGTCAATGGTGCCCTGACTGCGTTAGTCAAAAGGCAAGGCGTAGTGAAGAGTGCACGCCTTGCAATACATAACGCAGTGTTGGTACCGACTTTGTTATATGGCAGCGAAACATGGGTATGCCAGAAGAAGCATAAAAGTAAGTTGAATGCAGTGGAGATGCGATCTCTTCGTAAAATGTGCGGCGTTACCATGGCCGAACGAAAGCGAAACGAAGAGATTCGCAATATGGCAGGTTTGAAAGATGATCTTATCACAAAAATTGATAAGGGCGTGATTCGATGGTTTGGGCACGTTGAGCGAATGAGTGAAGACCGAATGGTGAAGAAAATATATAGCGCGAAAGTAAATATTAAAAGGTGTCGAGGTAGACCGAGACTAACTTTCGAAGACCATGTGAGCAAATTGCTCGAAGAGGGGAAGGTCGAGAGTACTCGGATACCTAGACGTGCATGTATGAAGAAGATAATGAATCTGAAAGAAGCGAAAGATGTATGTAAGGATCGTGACACTTGGCGATCTGTTCTCTCTGGCTACCCCGTCAGGGATTGTGCGTGAAGATAAGTAAGAAGTATTGTCTTTTTTTTTTGTAATTAGATTAAAGGACATGTTGCAGTTCTGGGCGGATGTACGGATGGACGAAATAGACCATGTTGCTCTTTGGGTACGGGATCCTAAAAGTACTCGTAACAGAATTTTATTGAAAACTACCCGGCGCGTTGCTGTCGAAAAAGAAATAATTTAGGATTTTTATTAAATTTATGAGATACATTGTTTAATTAGGAATGATTATACATTAATTGAAATTAAATATTATATAGTTAACTTTCAAATAAATTTATCGGTACAATATGTGCGCCACCTACTACTCCAGATAAATTGTACTATGCCTTATAACCTTCGCGCAAGTGCAAGCTATAGGTCGACAAAATTTTACCGCAATCTGACGATATATTTACATATATCTGATAGATAATTAAAGTACGGCGAAATCATTTTTACGATTATAGTTAAGAGAACTCAATATCATTTTGTATAGGAAAAATGACAAGTTCTGGTTTTTCTAAATCTACAAAGAGGTTAGTAGGTAGTGTCTATGTAAAAATAATTTTATTCTCTTACATGAATATGAACTAAAACAAATAATAATGAAAAAGACGATGGTGGAAAGAATGGTGTAATATCTTGCAAAAGGCAATGAGTACATTTATTTTTCTTGAATTGTGTGCGACTTGTCGTCTAATCTAATTGATCTCAACATCCTAAAATCTCGCGTAGCCGTGCCAATAATCTTCTACCTTGCACGACCACTACATGTATGTATTGATATCGAAACCATAAGAGTTAACTAAAAAGAGAGATTTAAAGAAAAAAAGACTATAAAATGTTTGTTGTGTTCTAAATTACATTATGGTACAAATTTTTTTGTGAACTTCTACCACAAAAGAATTAAGGAGTAATTCAAGAAAGCACGACACTGATGGTTGTGCATCAAACAATAGATATATATTTTATACATAATATTTTTTACTGTTCAAATATAACAATTTATCTTATTAACCCAAATATAATTAGAAATTATATTTTAGGTGGTGTAACAACGATATACATGCGTGCTTTAAGTAACGTCGAGTCATTCTGTTGCGAAAGAGGGGCATGGATACGAGGTGTAGCGACGCTACCATTACCACTTTCTGGTCACGGTGCCGTTACCCTGCCACCGGCTTCCCTTATGTGATATACTTCAACGTCATAATGATGAGGATTTATATCTAATCTACTAAGAGAACTCTTAAGAAGTGTGTGCTTATATGGTAAAGATTGATGTTGCTACAAATTTGCTGTTTGAATGTAGCTTCAAGATATTCTCTTTTAAAATCGAAAGTAGAATAAAAATTGATCTCAGTGCTTTTTTATTTATTTATTGCGTTATTAATGAAATTGGGAAAGAGAAAACACTAAATAAATTACTGTGATTTTATGCAAACGGCTTTTATTTCAGTTGGTAGTAAAAAAGAAACTGCAAAATGTCATCATTAAAATATATTTACCATATCATGCTAGATATACATAACATGACCATACGTCCTGCTGTCCCCAGCGAGGGCAAAATGGTCCCGCTTTCGCAAACAGACCTAACACTTCATTCTTTTATAATATAAATCTATAATGCGTTCGAGTCAAATGTTTGAAAGAGTTTTGTGATTCAACTGACATTATCACAAACTGCTGGGCAACAATAAAACAAGGTGGCTTGCGTTAATGCCCGCGCTTGAGAGTGTTCTAAAAATGTTTCAGCCTTTAAAAAGCTATTTTCTAAGTATCGACAAATTCCCAAAAATTTTAAAAATGGTTTTCGAAATTCCCAGATCAGAGTTGTGGTTATATTTCGTGCATGCACCAGCAGCGACATTTCATAAAGCTGTGTTAAAAATTGAGGGGCAAAACGTGTCTGCAATAGAGTCTGCGAAGGAAATTAATCGTCTCTAAGATAACCTGGCACTCAAAGAGAGCACGATTGTCCTTCCTCTCACCATCCGTAATGTACTTGTAAAATTACAAGAAACTGAAATTGCTGTTGACCAGTAGAATGTTAAAACTGCAGCAGCTGAGTTTTATAGGACAAGCAAAGAATACTTGGAGCAGTTGTGTCAATTCAACATAGAACTACAATTGTTTCAATGGGCAAATTTAAAAAAAGCACCTACTTGGGATGAGGTACAAAAAGTAATGGATTTGCTGATCACGCAAGAGTTTATTAGCAGCAACAAAGATACGAAAGTCTTTGACGAATTTTCGCTTATTTCCAACTTTGCCACAGATGAAAAAATCACTGGCTGGAATAATGAGAATATTGCTGTTGAAGACCGTTGGGTTGTATTATTCCAGCACTTCTGTGTCAACTATCTTCACTTGACGAACTTTTTAACGGTGGTAGAGCCTTGCAGCAGCTTTTGCTGTTGCACGTATGGGCCGGCTCGAGCCGGGTTAGTACCACGACCTCACAGAATACCGGCGTGAAGTGGAAGCTCTGCTTCCGCGTTTCGTCTGGTGAGTGCAGGTGACCGGATGCCCAATTCCCCCCCCCCCCCCATCAACATGGTAGCGGAATTACGTCAAAAACTACCCCAGGAGGGTACCAGTACCCCTGGAGAATCCCTCGCTGAGCATCCACGACCATGCTATTCCACTCCTGAGCGTGGGTGCTCAGGCTGCCCCGCGTATTCTGGGGGGGGCAAAATTCCGCTCAACACAATAACTGCTCGGGGCAAACTGAGCAACAAGACCAAGGCGACCCCTGCCACGCTATCCGTGAATTTCTGCAACATCAGGGGACTTCACTCGAACCTAAACGCCGTCCACTACCATCTTGAGACGGCGAAGCCGGCCTTGCTCTTTCTGACCGAGACGCAGGTGTCCTCTCCGGCTGATACTTCGTATCTCTCCTACCCGGGGTACAAATTGGAGCACTCCTTTGTGCCTCGGGCTGGAGTTTGCGTGTATGTCAGAGCGGACATCTGTTCTCGACGCCTCGGCAGTCTTGAAGGTTCGGACCTGTCCATCCTTTGGCTACGCGTAGACAGCGACGACCATCCGCGCGTCTACGTGTGCCTCTATAGGTCCCATAGCGGTAATGCCGAAACAGACCGACTCATCGACCACGTCCAAATGGCTACAGATTCCTTGCTACAACAGGTCCCATCCGCAGAGATCGTGATCCTTGGCGATTTTAACGCCCACCACGCCGAATGGCTCGGTTCACGTTTAACCGATCATGCGGGGAGATCTGTTTATGACTTTGCCTTGGCATATGGTCTGACACAACTGGTTACATCGCCTACGCGGATTCCAGGTGTTGAGGATCATACACCTTCCCTGTTGGACCTTCTGCTGACCTCTCATCCGGACGGATATCAGGTTTCCGTCGATGCCCCTCTTGGCTCTTCGGACCATTGTCTGATCCGGAGTGTGGTGCCACTCACGCTCCCTTCGCGGTTGCGTTCTGCAGGTTGCCGCCGTGTTTGGCATTACAGATCGGCGGATTGGGACGGAATGCGGTCTTTCTTTGCTTCCTACCCATGGGGGCGGGTTTGCTTCTCGCCGGATGATCCCAGCGCTGTTGCTGACTCTGTCACTGATGTAGTGCTACAGGGAATGGAACTATTTATTCCATCATCTGTGGTACCCATCGGAGGCAGATCTCAGCCTTGGTTTGGTCGCTCCTGTAAGACTGCATTACGCAGTAAGCAGGAGTGTTATCAAGCCTGGGCTGCGGCTTCGGTGACTCGGGATGTAAACACCAGCACACTCAAAAAGAAGTATAACTTCGCCTCCAGGTCCTTCAAAAGAGTTATTGCCAAGGCAAAGTCAGAGCACATAGGCAGAATTGGCGAGAAACTAGTTCGCCTTCCTTCGGGAACCCGTGCATTCTGGTCTCTCGCCAAGGCTGTCCAAGGGAATTTCTGTAAGCCATCACTACCATCTCTGCACAGGGAGGACGACTCACTGGCCCACGACGCAAAAGAGAAGGCCGACCTTTTAGGCTCCCTTTTTGCGTCCAACTCGACTGTTGATGACGGGGGGAACACACCGCCGACCATCCCGCGGTGTGAGTGCTCCATGCCGGATGTGCGATTCTCAGAGCGCTCGGTTCGCAGAGCACTCCTCTCCCTTGACATCCACAAGTCGAGTGGGCCTGACGGAATCCCCCCAATTGTGCTGAGGACGTGTGCTCCGGAGTTGGCACCGGTTCTAACGCGTCTTTTCCGGTACTCCTACTCCCTAGGCGTAGTCCCGAAATCATGGAAGACAGCTTTTGTCCACCCGATCCCTAAAAAAGGCGACCGCTCAGATCCGTCCAACTACAGGCCTATCGCCATCACCCCCTTGTTCTCCAAAATAATGGAATCCGTTGTAAACTGCCACCTCATGCGGTACCTTGAGGATCACCAGCTGATTAGTGATCGCCAGTACGGTTTTCGTCGGGGTCGATCAGCTGGTGATCTTCTGGTCTACTTAACTCATAGATGGGCGTTGGCAGTAGAGTCCAAGGGGGAGGCATTGGCCGTTAGTTTGGACATTGCGAAGGCCTTCGATCGGGTTTGGCACAAAGCGCTTCTTTCGAAGCTCCCTTCCTATGGGCTTCCCGAGAAATTATGCAATTGGATCACCAGCTTTCTTGCAGATCGGAGCATCAAGGTCGTTGTAGACGGTGCATGCTCCGACTACAAGCCTATTAACGCTGGTGTTCCACAAGGCTGCGTGCTATCACCAACGCTGTTTCTTCTGCATATCAATGATATGTTGCAAGCTGGTAGCATTCATTGCTATGCGGATGACAGCACTGGTGATGCTCTATACACCGGCCGTGCCAATATTTCTCGGGAAAACGTCACCGAGTACCGGAACAAACTTGTGTCTGAAGTCGAGTCTTTGCTGGACAAAGTCTCGGATTGGGGGCGACTAAATCTAGTCCAGTTTAATCCTCAGAAGACACAAGTTTGCGCGTTTACCGCTAAAAAGAACCCCTTTGTCGTATCTCCTCAGTTTCAAGGTACTCCCCTTGTTGCCTCAGCCAGTATCGGAATCCTTGGCGTCGACATATCGAGTAGCGTGCAGTTTCGTGGTCACTTGGAAGAGAAGGCCAAATTGGCCTCTAAAAAGCTTGGCGTGCTCAGCAGAGCGGGACAGTATTTCATGCCGGCTCAACGCCTGCAACTTTACAAGGCGCAGGTTCGGCCTCACATGGAATACTGTTCCCATCTCTGGGCTGGGGCTCCCCAGTGCCAGCTTCTTCCACTTGACCGCATCCAGCGCAGAGCGGCTCGAATCGTCGACGACCGAGTCCTTTCCGATCGGCTCGACTCATTGGCACTGCGAAGAGATGTTGCATCTCTTAGCATTTTCTTTCGCATTTACCATGGGGAGTGCTCTGAGGAATTGTTCGGATTAATCCCAGCCGCCAAATTTCACGAACGCACATCGCGGCAGAACTCCCGATACCATCCACACCATCTGGATGATTGGCGGTCCACCACTGTGCGATTTAGAAGATGTTTTCTTCCTCGCACAACTTCCTTGTGGAATTGTTTACCACCAGCGATTTTTCCGGACCGATACGACTTAGGGACCTTCAAGAAAAGAGCCTACTCCTTTTTAAAAGGCCGGCAACGCATCTGCAATTCTCCTGGTGTTGCGGTTGTTCATGGGCGGCGGTAGTCACTTACCATCAGGTGAGCCGCATGCTCGTTTGCCCCCTCTCCTATAAAAAAAAAAAAAAAAAAAAAAAAACTTTTGTATAATTATTGAGTACATGATGTATGTCAGGAAGTAATGCGCCGGTAGAGAGTTATTTCTCTAATGAACAAAATATGGACCAGTGACAAAACTCAGTTAAATGTCGTAGTAGTGAAAGTCACTATAATTACAAAAATAAATATAAATTAATCCTGTACTGAGTTCTATATTTACCTAAAAACCGGCCCGGATATTTTAAAACTAATTTGTTCAGCCGACAAATACAAAAATACTCACGCCACTACTATGGCTTAGTAACTCATGCAACCTACTTAATTATTTTGTAATAAGTGCATTGATTATTTTTTATTATTGTTATTACATTCTATAATTAAAAAAAAAACTTGTAAACCACCAAAAACTTTTATTTACCATAATTCCGCAAGAGACGTCCCGCTTTGACAAAAATAGTAAATGGTCACGTTAGATATACATAACATTATCTGTATAGTCCGCTATTGTACAAACAGAATCGTCTGTTTACAAACGCCAAATTGTAAGGTGCCACGTCATTTTGTATATAATCCATGAAACCCGTGCCCGTGACGATTCGGACGCCGCCGTTCACTATTTATTATCGTATGTAGTCTAACCGCAGAATTAGACCGGTAATTGGTAACTATAACTTTCGTTAACTTTGTTTTAAACACGAAATCACCAATCAAGTAGTATCAAACACAGTTAGTTGTGGTGCGGCCGAAGCCTTGGTCATTACATTCACCTATATAAATTAGGCACAAAATTCGCCACCAGCACATGAGTAATAAACAACCAGCGGACTTCACAGACGACGCCGTTTGTCAAATAATACAATACACACATATGTACATATCAATAAACTTAGTCGATAAAATCTAATATTAAATTAATAATAATTATTTATTTAACTAAACATTAAAAAAATACAATAAGTCTTAATCTAGTCTTAAATTAATATCACATTTGGTTTCAAAGTAAGCATATTAAATCATAATATTTGTAATCTCTACTTAGTCCCAAACCTCTCGACATACTCCTAATACGTCTCTTTTGAATCCATTTCCGCAACGAGGATATGTCTTGAAAAATATAATATTATTCATTGGGACGAAACCATTATTGGGCTTTATATTATTGCGCATCATATCCTGAAAAAAAGAAAAACAAGCTCTTAGACTGAATTCGCCATTTAAAATGTCGATTGTTTTTGATTTATTATGTAATAAATTGAATTTTTATAGGTGTTCGTTAAGGTGGAAGCTCCAGGGTGGCCCGCGAAATTCAAATTTTCTTGCGTATTTTGGAATTTGCAGGTCAGGGTCAGGTTGTATATTTAACAAAATATGATCCGCGACCGTAGCGATTATGTGTTTACAGAATTATTATCATTAAAATCACCAATACAACCCTGTAAGTTCATATAATCTATTTGAATGAGTTTTTTTGGAAATAGCCATACAATGGGTTTTTAATGATAATAATTCTGTAAACACATACTCGTTACGGTCGCGAATCATATTTTGTTAATCATACAACCTGACCCTCTAAATACGCAAGAAAATTTGAATTTCGCGGGCCACCCGTCCCTGGTGGACGCCTTCCACCTTAATCACAATCGTTATGGCAATGCTTGGTAGGCGGCTTGCCGATCGCTGTAGTTGACTTGCGCATTTCAAGCTACCATCATGGGTATTATGTAAAGTAGCAAATATCTACCATATAATTCAAGTATTTTTTATAGAATGAGCGTGACTAACGAGCGCACAGTCCACCTGATGGTAATTGGATGCTGTGGCCCATAGACATCTACATCTTTCCTCGATTAAAAATCAAAATTTAGATGCATCGTCACCCCTAAGGACTATGGTGGAATGCCTCGATTCCAGTAAAATGGTCTCGGGTTCTGTATAATCACCATACAAAATACAGCAATATTAAGCTGCTATTTTACGCTGGTATTCTGTGAGAGCGTGGTCCTTCCCCGGCCGAGGCGACCCATTCGTGCTACAACAGGCATCCTTTTACCGCGTAAAAAAGTCTTATTGGAATAAACAGCCATGCGTTATGCGTATAGCGTTTGGATTGTCGGTACGAGCTAGGTAACAGTACACCTGATTGTAAGCAGCTGCTGCAGCCTATGCACGCGCAGCCAAACAAAAAAGGCGACATGTGAATTATCATATATAAGGGTAACGGTAGAATGCCTTACATACTGTAATTTTTTTATAGAAGGGGGCGAACGAGCATGCGGCTCACCCGATGGTAAATGACTACCGCCGCCTATGAACAACCACAACACCAGGGGAATTGCAGATGCGTTGCCGGCCTTTTAGAAAGGTACAAGCTCTTTTCTTGAAGGTCTCCTAGTCGTATCGGTCCGGAAAAAACGCCGGTGGCAAACGATTCCACAGAGAAGTTGTACGAGGAAGGTAACTCTTAGTAAAACACAGTCGTGGACCGCCAAGCATCCAGATGGTGACGATACTATCGTGAATTTTTGCGCGATGTGCTTGCGTGAAATTTGGCGGCTGGAATTAATCCGAAGGATTCCTCAGAGCACTCACCGTGATAGATTCGATAAAAAATGCAAAGGGATGCAATATACCTACGCAGCACCAGTGTACTCGGTCGTCGACGATTCGAGCCGCTCTGCGTTGGATACGACCAAAGTGGAAGGAGCTGGCACTGGGGTGCCCCGGCCCAGAGATGAGAACAGTATTCCATATGAAGCCAAACTTGCGCTTCGTAAAGTTCCAAGCGATATGCCGGCATGAAACACTGTCTCGCTCTGGTGAGCACGCCAAGCTTTTTAGAGACCAATTTGGCCTCCCCTTTCAAGTGACCACGAAACTGCACACTATTCGATATGTCGACGCCGAGGATTTCGATACTAGCTGAGGCCGCAAAGGTAGTGCCTTGAAACTCAGGAGATACGACAAAAGGGTTTTTTAGCAGTAAACATGCAAACATGTGTCTTCTGAGGATTGAACTGGACTAGTTTAGTCACCTCCAATCCGATACTTTGTTCAGCAAAGACTCGATTTCATACACAAGTTTGTCCTGGTACTCGGTGACGTGTTCCCGAGAAATATTGGCACGGCCGATGTATAAAGCATCACCCGTGCTGTCGTCTGCATAGCAATAAATGTTACCAGCTTGCAACATATCATTGATATGCAAAAGAAACAGCGTTGGTGATAGCACGCAGCCTTGTGGAACACCTGCGTTAGTAGGCTTGTAATCAGAGCATGCACCATCTACTACGACCTTGATGCTCCAATCAGCAAGGAAACAGGTGATCCAATTGTACAATTTCTCGGGAAGCCCATAGGAAGGGAGCTTCGAAAGAAGCGCTTTGTCCAAACTAACGGCCAATGCCTCCCCTTTAGACTCTACTGCCTCCGCCCATCTATTAGTCAGGTAGACCAGAAGATTACCAGCTGATCGACCCCGACGAAAACCGTATTGGCGGTCACTAATCAGCTGGTGATCCTCAAGGTACCTCATGAGCTGGCAGTTTATAATAGGCTCCATTATTTTGGAGAACAAGGAGGTGATGGCGATAGGCCTGTAGTTAGATAGATGGGTCTGAACATCACTTCTGAGGGTCACCTTATTTAGGGATCGGGTGGACCAAAGCTGTCTTCCATGAATTCGGGACTACGCCTTGGAAGTAGGAGTACCGGAAAAGACGCGTTAAAACCAGTGCCAACTCCGGAACACACGTCTTCAGCACAATGGGAGGGACTCCATCAAGCCCACTCGACTTGCTGACATCCAGGGAGTACTGCTTTGTGAACTAAGCGCTGTGTAAACCGCACATCCGGCATGGATCACTTACATCGGAGGATGGTCGGCGGTGTGTTTCCCCCGTCATCTAGAGTCGAGTTGGACCCAAAAAGAGAGCCTAACAGATTGGTTTTCTCCTTTGTGGCATGGGCCAGTGAGTCATCTTCTCTGTGCAGAGATGGAAGAGATGGCTGACGGAAGTTCCCTTGGACAGCCTTGGCGAGAGACCAGAATGCATGGGTTCACAAAGGAAGGTGAACTAGCTTCTCGCCAATTCTGCCGATGTGCTCAGACCTTGCCTTGCCAATGACTCTTGAAGGACCTGGAGGCGGAATTATACTTCTTTTTAAGAGCGCTGATGTTTACATCTCGAGACGTTGATGCGTCAACTCAGGCCCGGTAGTACTTCTGCTTATAGCGTGATGCTGTTTCACAGGAGCGACCAAACCATGACTGGGATCTGCCTCCGATGGACACCACAGAGGAGGGAACTAAAAGTTCCATACCCTGAAGTACCACATCAGCAACAGAATCAGCAACAACGCTGGGGTCTTCCAGCGAGAAGCAAACCCCCCAAGGGTTGAATGCAAAAAAAGACCGCATCCTATCCCAATCGGGATAGGATGCGGTCGTTTTTTGTGCCAAACACGGCTGCAGCCTGCAGAATGCAACGGTTGCATTCTGTTATATAACACTATTATATAACAACGATACAGCAATGGATGCATTAGTTCATGGCGGTAATTAGGTATTGGATGATATCAATCCAAGCAGGCTCTAGCTTTTAATTTTATTACAGTAAGTGGCATTAAAATGAAATTATTAATTCCAAGTTATTCCAAGTTCCATTACTACTACACGTGCCCGACCGCCTAGGAAACAATCATGAGGAAAATTGCATTTCTGAGAAATATAAAAAAAAACGAGAACTGTGGAATCCGCCCAATTGCGTCAAACCGGAGTAACAGGTTATCCAAGCTCTTCTCAGAAATGAGAGATATGTATCCAGCCGAGAACGTTTTTAGTCTGTTAAGTTTCTTTTTATCTGCATGCACTTTCTTTCTTCTATTTCCATTAAAATGTATAATTAATAAAATTATTATTTTCAAATATAAATTTTTCAAAATAAGCTATAAAAATGATTAATGGTAATATTTTTCTTGATTCAACCGATTGATAAAATAATATAGATAGAGTAGGTTAGTACCTACGTACGAGTAAGATATATTATTAGAAAGTTATGTAGTTTCCCATTTGTCCATAAAAATTATTTCCATTTGTTAGTATATTTAAAAAGTAACTTTTTTAAATGTTGTTATTAAAAATATAACTATAATAATAAAAAGGTTATTTTAAACCTAAAAAATAAAACTATGCAAATATTTTATAGTATAATAAAATATAATCAATTTAGACAAAGATACTTGTTTCGCATAATTTATAAATAATAAAATGATTAGATATATTCAACTTAATATAAAAGAAAATATGCCATAGATTGAAAATATAATGTAAACCATATTATGTTACTTAAAATAAATAAAAGGGAAATAGTTTTTGCACGAATATTTATGTACATAAAATACTTACGGTTGAAAATTTTTCGGCATCTACTTTTGGCTCCATATTGGTGAGGTCCGCATCAAGGTTTAGGGATTCTGGTACATATATATGTCTAGCGTCTCCAAAAACTCCAAACAAAGCAAACACAACTAATATCAATGCTAGTCGAATCATTATTATTGTTAATTCTGTAAAAACTTATAAGTAATTCGCAGGAACTTACTTTCCGTAGCGTCAACGGTTGTGTGCTAAATAAGGATCACATCGGTCGTCTTATAAGTGATGCTCATTTTGTTGTTATCTTTCCAGTGTATCTTATACGTCATACGTAGGGTTGTCACCGTTTTGCTAAGCTACACTCTAAAATTGCTTTATAAAATTTAAATTAAATTTGATAAACTAACTACTATTTCAATTCCTAGGAACATTGTTATTTCATTTCTTAAAAGAATTAGATTAATTAGATTTGCAGATACTTCTAACAGGGCTGACGGTTGCTACCTGTACCTCAGAGAGAGCACGTCAGATGCCTCTGCACTTATCGAGTTATTATATTCCACTTTCATAAGGTCAGTGGTTCCTTAAGTAAAGTAGGTTTAAACTGTTTCACTGCTTACACTTAATAGTGCTCTTTTTTAAATAAAAAATACTAGCAATGTTACTAACATTACTAATATTTCCTTTACCAACTCCTGGTTAGCTTAAAATGCTTGTTATAGGGGTGGTCCACGACAATAGTTGAATGGCGGATTCGAACCGCTGTTCGCGATCCCCACACCGTTAGGCTACTGTTGCTCTCATACTCTCTAAACTATTACAAAACTGTACAACATATTATTACTGAAAATTGATACAAAATATACTGATGTACACTTATATATCTTGACTTACAAATTCTTATATTAAGTTTAAAGATATACACACATCAACATCGTCTAGGGATATTTCGGATTTTCTCAATTTACTCAAAATTTGTTATAAATAATATACAACATGTATATATTTTTATAAAGCCCATTTATCAGACTAGACTTCAAAATAAAAAATTTTTGTGTAAATAAAATTTTATTTAAATAAAGACGTCAAGTGAAATAATCGTAAAACTAAAGATGAATGTGTTTACCAATAAAAACTGAAAAATCCGGAGTTATTCCGATTTTTTGCAATAATGCGAAAAATTTGTAGTTAGTAAAACCACCCATGACGTTAACTACAGTCCTGCGACGGTTTATCATGCTTTGAATCAAGTTATCAAAGTCATGCTGCGGGATATTGTCCCAGGTCCTGCTAAGATGCCGAAAAAATTGTTCTTCAGTCGCAATGTTTGCAGGAAAATTCTTCAAAGCCCTTCTCTTTGGAGCATTTTCCAAGCATGCTCTATGGGGTTTTTTATTTATATTTTTTACTATACTATCCTATAAAAAATGGGGTTTAGGTCTGGTGATTGCGCTGGCCAGTCTAAGACCGATTCGCCGCGCTCCTGCAGCCAGCTGATTGGACTTTGTCATGCATAAGCGTGAATTCTTGGCCCACTTGTAGTCGATGTGGGTAGACTATTGGTACTAACACCTGGTTGCAGTATTTTTAAGCAGTCATGGTGTTTTTGATCCAAACGAGTTCTTCTACTAACACGACTTCCTGTTCAAACCATAATCGTCCCGCCGTGGTATGGTTGGACTTCTTGAGGATTTTGCAGACGGCTCTCACGGCCAGGAACTCGCCATGCGCCTATTCTTTGCAAATCGGAATGGAAACCGAATTGGGACTCATCAATAAACAGCACTACAGACCACTGGTTACCTTCCCAGAACAAATGTTCACGAGCCAACTGTAATCTTCATCCACGATTTACTCGGCGTAGTGCTGGTGTACGAAGCGGTATAATCACGAAGGCTAGCTTCATGCAGTCTTCTCCTCCCGGTTTGTTCACTTACAAGCAACTGGTGCTCTGACTGGAGCCTTTGAACCAACTGCATGGCCGTAACATTTGGCTGTCATCTCGTGGCAACTTGCAAAAATCGGTCATGTTGTTGGGTGATTATGCGCTTCCCGCCTGGGTGTCTTTCAGTCACTTCACCAATAGCACGATAACGTGACCATAACCTTCATATCACTTTTTGTTTTGTTCTCCAATCTCCTCAGCAATAATCCGTTGAGTAGCCCCAGCTTGGAGCATGCCTACTGCCTTTAACATTTCCTCTCTCATTAAATGGCGCCGCTGCATGATGCAGACAGTGGCATAAATTCGAAATTAACGGTTAACTTGTTTTAAAACTTTAATTTGACACCAAAAATTACCAAAAGCTATGGTAGGTAAATTAAAACCTTCAAACTTCGCTAAAGTTATGCAGCGCAAATCTTTTGTTTTTAATATATTTTTTCAAATTCAAATTTGGAATCATCCAAAAAGGCCCACAAAATAATCTTTTTCCGAAAGATTTTAAAACCCGCCAGATTTTTTTTCAGTTTAAGATAAGTATGTACTTGTTTCAATCCAGCTGACTGTCTTAAGAGGAATAGAGCTCATTATTACAAAAAATGATTATTGTGCTATTTTAAAAATAAATACTAGCTTATTAAAGGAATTTCAGAAATTAAGTATAAGATGCACATAGTGTTTTGCTATGATATCTATAATGTGTTTTAGACTTGCGGCTAAACATTCTATACAATTAATAGGCTGCTTACCTAAAAAAGGGTAACTTTAGCTCGAGATATAGTAGATATATATTTTAGTGGCCCGCTTCAATGAAACAGTCGTATTAAAAGCACTTTAATTTCAAAGGGCTATGTTCTTATATTTGTGTATTATGCAATTAAAGCAATTCACATTGAATTAGCCTTCTGTTTTGACCACTGAGACATTTTTGGCATGTCTAAAGAGATTTATAGCGAGGCGTAATTTACGTTCATTCATTAATTGCGTCAATGCTGTAACCTTTCGCGAAGCAAATAAATAATTTAAATGTTATATGAATTACAGAATGTTAGTGAACATAATTCAAAAACTTATCAATCCAAAATCAGAATTTTATTTCTCCATTGAGAATTACTTTTTTTTGAGTCGGAATATGGGTGGAATTAAAAGTGAAAAACCTTAAACTGTTTTTGGTGAATTTGGTGAATTGGTGAAAAATGTTTAACATATCAAGAATCATTTCTCTAGACACTTTGTGCGGCACAGTTACCCAATTTGAAGCATATAATTCTCAAGATATGAGATATAGTAAAGACTACTAACGGATTTCAATTTCCTCGGTCCCTCTTCCATATGTATCAAAGATTATACAATTTAAACACATCGCTATGCACTAAAGGCAACATATATATTATATGCCACTAAATTATATCGTTATAGCTATCATTCCCAAAGATCATCGATCATCGATCGCTAGCTCAAATTATGACGTGCCTATAATTTTTATAACTAGGGTGAAGAGATAAAATAGTAACAATGAATCTATAACTGAATGTTCAAATGTGTATGAATATGAATTTGGAACATGAATATATGTACATGATATAAGTTGTACAGATTAAGTATAAACAAGATGAAAAACTAAAAAAATTATGGCAATTAGGGTGTGTCGTATTATACAACATATTTAGCTAGTTTAAACACAGACAAAAAAAAGTTAAAACAAAGATTGTAAGGCCTTTGTTCACAACGGTGGACTCGTGATAGTCTGCATTAATGATCATTGTACAAGTAGGTATACTGCTATTAAAAACGAAATACTACAAGCCATAACACACATTTTTAAATGTAAGATACATGTAATGCAGGTAGCAGCCCTAGTGAAAAGATTGACTCTAGTAAATAGTTGCCAGGCTGACTGCAACTGTAGTCTGTTTTGTGTTAATGACGCAATAATATGTAAATTGACGTCATAAAATCATATAATAAACAGTAAATTTTTTCGTATACTTGTCGAAATTTTAAATTCCTATAATACAATTTAGGAGATTTAACAGCCCAGTACGGAGAGTCCTTGGAATTGTAAATGAAAAATTATAACCTTTTAATATAAGCCTTTATAGTGAAAACAACATAGATACTCAATTATATCCTCCATCTTTTATTTGATTCCTCAAGATTTCTCCGATAGAGTTATCGGTCGGTATCCTCGGTATCCTTAGAACGACCGAACAAACTTTGTTAAACATATAAAAAATCGTATTATTTCCCTTCGTTTTTCCTTATATTTTATCTTTTATACTTTACTACTTCATATAGGCCTATTTTTAAATTATATATAGAGGAAAACTTTGTTTACTAAGCCTAGCTTTTTTAAAGTTGAATAAAATTTGCAATGACTAAGAATCTGTCTACCAGAGAATAATAATTATTGACGAGATCAAAAAATTTGAGTCTTACGTCTGTGTTACATAAATATAAATATGCTGAATGTCATGCACTTCTGTGCCATAATCTTGTCATGTCATGTCTAAAAGCGCCTTGTACGACAGACGCCCAGCGTAATAACAATAATTAATAATTATTCACACCCTAAAGGATAGCACCGTCGACATCTGTCGAGCATGTCGCCGCCCAGGTGAATCACTTAGGTATGTCATCTCTGGTTGTCCGGCGCTTTCTAACTCTGAGTACTTACACAGGCACAACCTAATAGCCAGGATTCTACACCAGGAGCTCGCTCTGAAATACGTTCTCGTGGTTCGGAAACTGCTTTATTATAAGTACTTGCCAAAAGCCGTGCTCGAAAATGACCGCACCAGGCTCTACTGGAACCGGGCCATCATCACAGACAGGACTATTATTGCGAATAAACCTGATACTGTACTGATGGACCGGGCACAGTCAAGGATATTTTTGGCGACATTGCCATTCCTTATGACGAGAACCTCGTGAGAGCCGAAACAGATAAGCAGACAAAATATCTGGACCTGGCTCACGAGGTGACTGAAATGTGGGGTGGTCTGCCGACCGAAATTATTCCTGTGGTCGTTTCTGCGAACGGGTTAATCCCAATCAGCCACTCTGGTCATCTGAGGCGACTGGGACTCCGTGACGGACCGCTCCGGACTCAGATGCAGAAGGCGGTGCTCCTTGATATTGCCCGCATCATCCACCGATTTGTTTCCCTTTCTTCCCAGTCCTCTGTCGTTTGGTCTCCCCTGCCGAAAGCTTCCATCTGGTTGGGTTTTTATTTATTTATGTACTTTTATGTAATTTTTTTTGTTTTATTGATATTTATGTATATTTATCATTTTCATTTACATTTATATATATATATATATATATATATATATATATATATATATATATATATATATATATATATATATATATATATATATAGATGAACATGGACAAAACAAAAATCATGTTTAACGTCCATGTCACACCTATGCCGGTAGTTGTTAGGAGCACTAAGCTCGAAGTTGTTGACGAATATGTTTACCTGGGCCAAATAGTCCGACTAGGTAAGTCCAACTTCGACCGAGAGGTCAATCGACGGATTCAACTCGGCTGGGCAGCGTTCGGAAAACTACTTCTCGTTAGACATACCTCAAAACCTGAAAACGAAATTGTACAACCAGTGCGTGTTGCCAGTGATGACTTACGGATCTCAGACGTGGTCCTTCACTGCTGGCCGTATGAGGAAGCTCAAGGTGGCTCAGCGAGCTATGGAGAGGGCTATGCTAGGGGTTTCTCTGCGTGATAAATTTAGAAATGAGGATATCCGCAGTAGAACCAGAGTAACCGACATAGCGACGTTTTAGCAAGCTGAAGTGGCAATGGACCGGCCATATAGCTCGAAGAACCGACAACCGATGGGGAAGAAAGGTTCTCAAGTGGCAGCCTCGTACCGGTAGGCGAAGTGTAGGGCGACCCCCCACTAGATGGAGTGACGACCTGGTAAGACATGCAGGAAGTCGATGGATGCAGGTGGCTTAGGACCGTGCTTTGTGGCATTTCTTGGGGGAGGCCTTTGTTCAGCAGCGGACTTATGAAGGGCAGTAATGATGATTGTATATTTATACAACGCAACCAGATGAGAAAACTATATAGATACCCCACCAAAATAATAATCATTTCTTTATTTCGTTCAACAAGGATCATATTACATAATAAGTATAATTAGGTGATAAGTGATAACATAGCCTATTGTTAGTAAATAATTATAGTAATGAAGAAAAGTTAAATAAAAATAGATAAATAAGTAAGAGAATAAATATTTTGAACATAGTTGATTTTAGATTATTTATTTGCCCGTACATGAACCATACAACAATGGTTCAGGTACTGACAGTCAACTATATTCGTGAACATCACTAGGATGCCGTTGGAGCTGGCCCGGATCCTACGTACCAGGGATGTACACCGCATACATATGATCTCGTAGAAGCAATCCACTCTCGCTTCAGCGAACATCCCCGATGCGCTGCAGAACCGAGGCAGCGTCATTAGCACCCGAAATCAATAGTACGCGTAGGGCGCTGTACTGCTGTTGAGAGTAATCAACCCAGAAGCTGCTCGTGTAAAGGAAGTACAATAAGCTTTAAACAGCTTAATCTCAATCAATCTTTAACTTCTGTTGTGCAACGAGCACACCTGCGGGCTATCATATTAGCTCTTACAGACAAAGACCTGCGTTCTCTATCAATATCTAAATTGTCACTCAGGTCAGAGGTTACCAAATGTCCAAGATACTTAAAATGTTCTTCTCTCTTCAGAGGGATTCCATTTAATTTAATAGGAGGAACGCTAAATGGACTTTTATTTCTGGCCGAAAGATGAATGAAAAAAAAGTTGAATGCAGTGGAGATGCGATCTCTTCGTAAAATGTGCGGCGTTACTATGGCCGACCGAAAGCGAAACGAAGAGATTCGCAATATGGCAGGTTTGAAAGATGACCTTATCACAAAAATTGATAAGGGCGTGCTTCGGTGGTTTGGGCACGTTGAGCGAATGAGTGAAGACCGAATGGTGAAGAAAATATATAGCGCGAAAGTTAATATTAAAAGGTGTCGAGGTAGACCGAGACTAACTTTCGAAGACCATGTGAGCAAATTGCTCGAAGAGGGTAGGGTCAAGAGTACTCGGATACCTAGACGTGCATGTATGAAGAAGATAATGAATCTGAAAGAAGCGAAAGAGATATGTAAGGATCGTGACACTTGGCGATCTGTTCTCTCTGGCTACCCCGTCAGGGATTGTGCGTGAAGATAAGTAAGTAAGTAAAGATCATTTACCTATTCAATTTTGCTTACATTGCATTTGAGTAGTGTTGCCCAAATGCAAGAACAAGACGAGACTTAGCAAGTCTTGGTCTTGGTCTTGCGCCAATACACCTGGTCTTGGTCTTGGTCTTGGTATTGCGCTCCCAGTCTTGGTCTTGGTCTTGGTCTTGCAGCAAGAGTCTCGCAAGTCTCGCAATGACCTATTAGCCTATTACTATTTATTAAACGTTACTTTAGATCTTAGAACAACTTAACAGAGTAGGTACATATTGAGCTTGAATTAACATAGCCATAGTAAAGACCAACCATATTAATAAATGTCTAAACATTTAATAAGAAATTCGAAAAATCAACTGACACCGGGTAGGGTTTGAACCCACGACCTAAGCGATCCGTGCCGATGCTCTAACCAACTGAGCTATCTACCGTGTCCCACGGCCACGGGCGTCAGTTTCTTAATAAACGTTTACATTTAATAAGCTTACATGTGCTAAAACATGGTTAAACATATATATAAAAACAAATTAATGGCAATAACTACACTGTATTTTAAATAACATTATCTGTCTAGAAAGAGATTGATGGACCCTCACCATATATGAAATGGAATAAAAGAGTTCTACAATATACCATTTATTTAAATAAAAAATAAAATACGATGCAAATTAAATTACTTCACAGTATGTACACAACAGCTTTGACATTACTATTACTTTATATTTATTCTTTTGACAAAGCATTAATACAAAGTAACCATCTGGCTGACTCATCACTTAACCTATTTTTATGTTTTCTAATTACTAATGATGCTTTAGAAAATAACCTCTCAGCAGGTACTGAAGTTGCAGGTATTAAAAGAAAATCACGGGCCATCTTCGATAAAATCGGATATTTTGTCTCATGCGTCCTCCAACAGTCTAAAATGTCTTCCGAGATGACGGCTCTGGGTTTACCTAGGTACCCCTCCAACTCCTTAATAACTAAGCCTTGAAGACAAGATCCAGATCCATTTTTACACATTTCAAGTGTTTTAAAAGTGCTATGGTGTCAACCATATTTATC